TTTATTTGGTGCAATTAAAAAGATATTCTCATTAATGTCCTCTTAATAGTCAGATTACAATAATGGATATGTTTCTTTTCTAAAACACAGAATCAAATGGGACACTTACCAGATTTGATAGAAAACATTGCTCCTTCATTTTGGGATTTCCCTTCCTTTTTCCTAGGGCTCCACAAGCTGTGGGAAGAAGTCTGTGAGTCCATAAAGAAGTCTCTTGCTTACAGTTGGCCCTGGTTCTATGGCCATTTAACTTCAGGTGGTTTTATTGGCAGCAGACTCTTCTTCCCACCAATCTCTTACCCAGTCCCCAAACATGCCCATGTGAAGCCCCTTCAGCCATGTCTGGTGTCTTCAATGGAGCCGCTTGCGGGAAGTATCTTTTGCCACTTCCTCAATCTATGGAAGGCATTTTTCTATCAAATTAGTTCAAGTAATTTTCCTTCACCCCTTGAAACCTTCATCCTTGTTCTTTGTTAGCATCCTACACTGCCGAGAGCACCAGTGTAGGATGCTAACAAAGAACAAACTTGTTCGTCATTCCCCTGGCACAAGAGAAGCCTAGGAATCTAGGAATCAAAGGCTGAAAGTGAAACTTGTTTATCAGGTACAGATCAGATGGGACTGGGATGGAGAATGGTGAGTTAGGTTTTCATTCTTTTGGGTCTTTGCAAAATACCCTCTATCCTACCACATTGTATGATGTTAGTGTATGCTCATATGGTGCTATTTGATGTGAATGAGAAACAACCTGACCAAGAAAAAGAAACATAGTGAATGGAAACTGGGAAACATACTTTGGCTGGCATGGGACAAAGTAATTTGGTTTGCAGTTCTGCTTTTCTTTCATGTTGAACACACTTTAAGTATGATTTTCTAAATAAGAGACAGCCCACTACCTGTTCGTCAGTAAAAGCATCAGCAATGAAAGAACAAGACAAGTCAATGGGAACAATGATGTGGATGGATGGATCACTGATGGGCAGACACACAGAGAACACGTTTAGCCTTCAAACTGTACTTATTTGAATGCTAAATTAAAATTTGAGTCATGGTACACCAATTAAAAGCTCTAAATTATAAATAAAATTCTTTGATATTTGTTCTGTAGGTCAACAGAAAACTTAATGAATCCAATTTAAATGTGTGAACAATATTTACACCTCTTTTACTGCATCAGGTTTAAAAGATGCCAACAAAAAAGAGGCACAGTATCTATAAAAGCGATCAGGTTGAAATATATGGTATGGCTTTAAAAAGTCTTTAATGGTTTAATTAAGTAGCCCGAAGTAGAGATAACTATAGTACCAAATGATTCCAATGAAATACCAGTAAGCAGCTTAGTTTTTTTTTTTTTTATTGGTTTTTTTTTTTTTTCTCATAGAATTAAGAGAAAACTCAGTAGTTTACAAATGTGATTGTAAACTTGTCCATTTCTGGACTATATATTAAGCACATGGATTGGTTTCTTTGCAGTCAGGAGAGAGTTGTAAGATAGACGAATCACTGAAGTTCTGATTTATTTGAATAAGAAGTAGATACAGAGAACAATCTTTGCCTATATATGTATTAATACTAAACATATATGTATAGATAAAGAATAAAAATATATAAATCCAATATATCTACTACTTTACTAATGTAAATAATCATTTCAATTTTTAAAATTTGCC